CCCAGCCCGTGTGCATGGACGCCAGGGCCTACTGGAGGGCCTCACTGCCCATTGTCCTGCTGGTGTGTCTCTGCCTAGCCCAGGCTTTCGGCTACCGGCTCCGGAGGGTCATTGCAGCCTTCTACTTCCCCAAGGTATGACCCTCCCCAGACCTTTCCAGGCCCACACGCACACGTGCACGCACACACGCACACAGCTCCCTACAACGCCATTTCCCCCCTCCACACTGCTACCATCGTTGAACTCCTCTCCCTCCCCTAGCGAGAGAAGAAGCGGGTCCTGTTCCTCTACAATGATCTATTGAGGAAGAGAGCGGCTTTCACCAAACTGAGGAGGGCTCTCATCATAAGGCGCGCTCAACAGCAGAGGGGCCCAGTAAGTCCAACCCTGTGCGCCCCGCGGCTGTGCCTGGCACCGAGGACTGTGGGACAAGGGCCATCCCCCTCCAGTCCACTAAGCTCCCACCAGAGGCCCTAGGCCTACAGGAACTGAGGGTCACGATTCATGCTAGTTCCTGGGTCAGAGCAGTGTCCACCCCCAGACCCAGGACTAGCCCAGTGTGAGATGGTCCGTGGGCCATCTGGAAGCAGGAAGAGAGCGGATCAGAATCTGGGTGCAGTGGTGTACACCCCTAATCCCAGTTACTCAGGACGCTGAGGCAGGATTCTACGACTGAGGGCCAGCCTGGGCCATTCAGCAAGGCCTTGACTCAAAATTAAACAGACAAAAATATAAAAGGGCCGGGGATGAGGCTCAGTGGTAGAGCACCCCGGGTTCAGTCCCCAGCACTGAAAAGCAAAGACCTGATGCAGCCCGGCACAAGGAAAGCAAGAGGGATTCATCAGAAAGAGGGGACCAAGGCACAGCACTGGTTCTGCTGAGGGGACTTCAACTAGTTCAGTGTCGTTCAGAGGAGGGGAAGGGGGGGGTCAGGAAGGCCTGCGACAGGCACGTGTGGTGTATGGGCACAGCGCCGAGTCTGGAGTCTGGAGAACCAGGTTCTAGTGGACGTGTCCTTGTTAAGGAGCCCTAAGCTGGGCACGGGGGTGCGTGCTGTCAACCCAGCACTCCAGGAGGCTGAGGCCCGAGGATCACAAGTTTGAGACCTGTCTTGACAAACTCAGCAAGACCCCCAGCAACTTAGTGAGAACCTGTCAAAAACCAAAATGGGCCGGGACTTGGCTCAGAGGTAAAGAATTCCTGGTTCAATCCCTAGTGCCCAGGGAAAAAGTTGTATGACCTTGGCCAAGGTCCTCATTAGGCCTCATTTTCTTGCTCTGAAGAACGGGGAAGCCCTCTCACTAGAGATCAGAGTGGCCGGCAGATACCAAAAGGTCTGGATTTGAGCCCTAGCTCTTCCCAGTACTAGTATCACCACTGTGTGATCTGGGGCACCTTGTTTAACTGCTGTGCCTTGGTTTTTCCCTTCAGTGAAATGTGGTTAACGACTCCATCTGGTTTTATTTTTTTGGTACCAGGGATTGAACCCAGAGTGTTTAACCATGGAGCCACATCCCCAGCCCTTTTTATATTCCGTTTAGTTGCTTAGGGCCTCACTAAGTTGCTGAGGCTGACTTTCAACTCATGATCCTCCTGCCTCAGCCTCCTAAATACAGGTGTGCACCACCACGCCTGGCTTTCATCTGGCTGTTGTAAGGGTTACATGACATGGTTCTGGATGAGTGTTTGCTGTCATTGCCTACCTCTGGGCAAATGAACAACTCTCCAAGCATCAATTTTCTCACCTGAAACAGAAATGATGGTGATAACAATATCTGCCATACATGGTTTGTGTGTGTGTGTGTGTGTGTAGCATGCTGGGAATGGAAGGGGTCTCACAAGAGGCATCCTCTGTCTCTGAGCCATCCCCCCAGCCTATAAAGTTGCTTTTTGAATTGAGTTAATTTACTCCAGCCTTTCAGCGCAGGGCCCAGCATTATAAACAGAACAATGAATGGCAGCCACAGTGGTTTAGTCAACCCTCACAAAGTTCACAGAGATGAGAAAGCTCATAAGCCTTTCCCTCCAGTGCCTAAACCTCCCTGTCCCCCGTGACACACAATAGAGACCAAATGAATGTCTGATGGAAAAATGACCGTCCTGGGATTCCATGACCTTGTCCTGAAGGAAACTGGAAAGTGGTGAAGCACTTGTGTAGCCTGCACAGGCTCTGGGTTCCATCCCCAGCAACACACACACACACACACACACACACACACACACATACTGTAAGGGACATGCAAAGACCCAGACCTCAAGGGAGTGCCCAGTGCCATGGGCTGGGCTAAGGAGAAGGCGGACAGAAGAGGCAGTCTTCAGGGAGGTAGGACAGAGGCTACAGAGGGACAGATTATGGAAGCCTCTGAAGGCCAAACCCAGGAGAACTCCTGTAGTCTGGCAGGCAGAGAGGCAAAGAGGTACCTGAGAAAATGGCCTGTAGAGGAAACCTTGCAATTGTGGGGGGAAAGGGTGTGTGGGGGTGGGGAACCTAAAGATAACAAAGCTTGTCCTTTGGAATCAGGGGACCTGGATGGGGCCAGGTTTGATTTACTGTCCTCATGCCTTTAGAAGAGTCACTTCATCTTTCCAGAGAGTCACCTTTCTCACCTGTAAAGTGGGGATAATAATAGTCAGTCTGTCTGTCCTACCCACTTCTCAGCCTCACCGAGGGAACAAAATGAGATGATTCACAAATGCAAATGACAGTTGTTCTGACATATCCCTACAGTGGCCCTGGAGACCACAGCCTGCCCGAGCTCCATCCTGAAGTCGGGACCTACTGCCATAGGGCCTTCTTTGCCCAACCCAATCCCCTCCAACACGTGGGCACCGTTAGTCCTCGGGACCTCAGACAGACCTGTCCAGAGCCCCTGGCCATCCCTTTTTCCTTCCTCTCACTTCCCGACTGGCACTGACCACCGCCACCTCCTAACAGCGCCACCACCTGGTGGACACCCTGCACCACCGCTGCCCGCTCCTACGCCGCTGGCTGCGCCGGCGATGCGTAGTGTGCCAGGCGCCCGAGACACCCGAGTCCTACGTGTGCCCGACGCCAGAATGCGAAGCCGTGTACTGCCAGTCGTGCTGGAAGGACATGAAGAAGCTGTGCCCAGTCTGCACACCCCGCGAGGAGCTCTCCTCCTCTGCTTACAGCGACAGCAACGACGACCTGAAGTACGCCGAGTGAGGGGCGTACCTCTGGCTTCCGCCCACCTCCCCGTTTAATAAAACGTTTGCTGGCTCCTGCCGCCCGCGCTTCGCTGGGGTCTGGGATCGGGGAGCTGGACGCTGCCTAGCGGGCAGTCGGGAGAGCTACCCTCTTGACCCCCACGGGGCCGGGCCACGGACCTGAGGCGAAGCTCCTAAGGGGG